GGTCCGGGGTCCTCTGCTGAGGGCCGTCCGGTCCCTGTATGACCGGAGTCAGAGCTGTGTTCGCATTGCCGGCAGTAAGTCAGACCTGTTCCCGGTGCATGTTGGCCTCCGCCAAGGCTGCCCTTTGTCACCGGTTCTGTTCACTGTATTTATGGACAGAATTTCTAGGCGCAGCCAGGGGCCGGAGGGGGTCCGGTTCGGGAACCACAGGATTTCATCTCTACTTTTTGCGGATGATGTCGTCCTGCTGGCTCCAACGAAACAGGACCTGCAGCATGCACTGGGACGGTTTGCAGCCGAGTGCAAAGCGGCTGGGATGAGAATCAGCACCTCCAAATCCGAGGCCATGGTGCTCGACCGGAAAAAGGTGCCTTGCCCTCTTCAGGCGGGTGGAGAGGTCCTTCCTCAAGTGGAGGAGTTCAAGTATCTCGGGGTCTTGTTCACGAGTGAGGGGAGGATGGAGCGTGAGATTGACAGGCGGATCGGTGCAGCGTGCGCAGTGATGCGGTCGCTGTATCGGACCGTTGTGGTAAAGAGGGAGCTGAGCCGAAAGGCGAAGCTCTCGATTTACCGGTCAATCTTCGTGCCCTCCCTCACCTATGGTCATGAGCTTTGGGTAATGACCGAAAGAACGAGATCGCGGATACAAGCGGTCGAAATGAGCTTCCTCCGCAGAGTGGCTGGGCGCTCCCTTAGAGATAGGGTGAGGAGCTCGGTCACACGGGAGGAGCTCGGAGTAGAGCCGCTGCTTCTCCACGTCGAGAGGAACCAGTTGAGGTGGCTCGGGCATCTGTTCAGGATGCCTCCTGGACGCCTTCCTGGGGAGGTGTTCCGGGCACGTCCCACCGGGAGGAGGCCCCGGGGAAGACCCAGGACACGCTGGAGAGACTATGTCTCTCAGCTGGCCTGGGAACGCCTTGCGGTCCCCCCGGACGAGCTGGAGGAGGTGTGTGTGGATAGGGAAGTCTGGGCGTCTCTGCTTAGACTGCTGCCCCCGCGACCCGGCAACGGATAAAGCGGAAGAAAATGGATGGATGGATGGATGGATAATAGAACCAGTTTTATCAAGATTTCTATTTCAACTGTGACCAAACAGTCTTAAAGTGACAGTGCGTGATACAGTGGATGTGGAAAATGATGATCCATAAATATAAAAAGCTTATAATATTTATATTTTATTAGTGTATTTAGCTACGAACTGTGGCTTCAACCCAGAATTGAACAAGTTAACAAGAGAAGAACACATTATAAATACTGGAATGATCATAGATGATTCAATCACCCTTTGACTCTTATCGTCCTGACGCCTCGTTCCTTTCCCTCAGACTTTTTCAAAACTGTAAAATGGTTGTAATTACGACAAAGACGAGACTTTTTGATGAGGCGAAGATTTCACATTTTAACAACAGCCTAAGAGCTAAAAGAGAACAGTCAGGGGCAGTGCTGGGCCTGAGCTTCCCCACACAGTCGGATTCACAGTAAAACACATGGAGGGAGAGAGAGAGGAAGAGAGAGAGGAGAGAGAGAGAGGGAGCGAGAGGAGAGAGAGGGGAAGAGAGAGGAGAGAGAGAGGGAGAGAGAGGAGAGAGAGAGGGGAAGAGAGAGAAAGAGATAGGGGGGAGAAACAGAGAGACAGAGAGGGAGGGGGAGTGAGAGGAAGAGGAAGAGAGAGAGGAGAGAGAGGGGGAGAGAAAGAGAGAGAGAGAGAGAGAGAGGGGGGCGGGCTGCACCATTCTATGGAAATATATCAAACTTTGAATATAGTTGTAATATTATTCAAAAGGGAAAATATTATGCAAATTCGGCCTGGGGTTGTTTTGAGATCCTCCACCCTCTGCACAAAACACGTGACTCCGCCCTTTCTGTTTAAATAATATTGTTGATTGTCCTGTGAGAGTATGATGTCATTGTACCACTATGACATCACACTCAAACTATTCTTAATAATTTCGTTTTGGCAATTTTTGAGGTGAAATGACGTCCTCTACAGTCGCATGGATGTGGTTGCAGTGGGTAAATATACTGTAAATAGGTCAACTCCTCCCTCTGGTGGCAGCCTAGGGAGTTACAGGTGGAAAGTCATTTTTTTTTTTACCCTCCATACCTGTGTCACCAAATATTTTTAACTCAAGATATTATTTCACATTCTAAAACGAGAAATGACAAAGTAAACATACTCATTATCACGTTTCATGGCTCAAAAATAATGCATCATATTTATTCTTTAAAGGAAAAATAACATGCTACTGTCCACTACAAAGACACGTTCACATTCAGTCCTGCCGCAATGCTCTGCTCTCGGCCACTTTGTGCAATCAGATGATCAAGCAAGCAATCAGCAGATTTTTTCCTTCCTTTAAAAATCAGTGAAAAAAGGTAAGAACGTGGATTTTGCATGTTTTGTCACAGAATACAACAAAGATAGGCTAATAATCTCTGGAATTTTGATGCATTCCTCTTTATGTATGTTTTCTCTTATTAGAATGAGTTAAATGGGAAATGTGGATGTATTGTCATTTAGAAAATACGTTGTTTTTTTTTTTTTCAAATTATGAAGCTTTTAAAGTGCTCAAAAATCTAAAATAAAAATGGCAGTTTGATATTTTTCCCGCTGAAATGGTGCAGGCCCAGTTCAACACTATAATCGTATCTGTACATCGTGTCAAAAGGGCGTCGGATATGGAGAGACATTCATAATAGTGAGATCCACAGAGAAGTGCAGTTTCTCGAGTCGTGATGGAATGATTGAAGTCACTGTCACGGCAACAGTACGTAGGCTACATACAGTTAGAATATATTCATACAAAGTTAACGCTGTACACTCCATCCACTGTACAATATCCACTGTACAATATCCACACACGTATTACCCCCCATTTTCTTTCAAAAAGTAGCTCTAACCATCATCAAAAATAAAAAATAGGTTGCCCAATATGTTTACATTCCCTGTCCTGAATCGTAATGCTTGTGTATAACAAACCCGCAGGATTACAAGGTGATAAAGTGAATTAAAACAGTCTAACATTACAAGACATCACTTTTATTAGTCCTTTTTTCTTTTTGACTCTCCACCACCGACGACAAAGTGCTGCTGCTCAGAACACACACAAACGCACACATGCACACACACAAACACACACACAATTCCTGAGTTTATGAACTGTTTTTGGCGCTACTCTACTCATTAAAAAAACCTCATTTACTTAGTTGAAACGCAAAAAAGCTGATATATCGGACGTGGACTTGAGAACGCCGCGCCGTTGCTGAGGATCTGATGGTTGTAGAAGTGTAAGATAAGACTTAAAACCCGGAGTTATTGTTATTATTGTAAAAATATCATTAAGGCTATTATTGTCTGTAAAATAAGGAACTGGATGGACTCGCAGACACACAACACGAATTATTGAGCGTTTTCTCCACGGAGCCAGGCACACGACAGTCCAGACAACTGCCCCATGATTACTACACTGTGGTATGAGGCTGGGAGGGTATGAAAGTCTGAGTAAGTACGTCTTCTTTAATTGTATAGCGCATTTGTTTTTGTTTTTTTGGGCAATTGTCTCCCACTCCACACAGAGATGGGAGCGGGGAAGTCTGTGGTTTGATAATGGATCAGTATCGGTGCTGTATCAGTGTACAGTATGTAAAAAGATTATGTTTGATTCTCTGATCTGTTCTTGGTGAATTGACAACTTTGTAAAGTCCCCCGAGACGACTGTTGTTTATCGTAGGGCTGTATTTTGGGCTTTACAAAATACATTGAATTAAAGTGAATTTACTGGCTGGTAAAATTGTGTTTCTGTAGTTACCAGCAGGATAGGTTAACGACTAAAACACATTTTGTGATAAGTTAGCAGTTGTGTGATCTAGGGCCCTCACATTTAGAAGTTGAATCAATTAATCGGTCTTCGGTTTCTTTGAAAAAAATTGTTGGAAAATTATCAACAATTGGGAAAACTGAAATCTTCTATAATACCAAATGTGTTTTTTGTTTTGTCCAATGATTAAAATATCCTAATTTGGAACCAATATGTGTGGCTGGAGTTCACAATCCTCGCCTGACAATGTGATGTGTTAGATTAGACTAGTTGAAGGCTTTAAACCTGACTACCTGACTTTCAAATCACAACAAATTTGAGACGTATTCTAAAAATCGATTGAACTGGCGCTTAGCTCTGAAAACAATTTGGTTCTCGCACAATTTTAGTTTTCACACTTTTGTATTTGTGGACCTCTGGCACAGCTTCAGATCAACCTTTTTCAGACAGAAAAAGGAGAGGACTACTCTGGCAGCTTTCAGCCCAAAGAGAGCATGTTGTGGTTGGATTTGTTCACAACATTTGACTTTAACAAGACTCTTTCGATCGGAACATATAATGACGTGTATTATTTATGGAAAAAAAGATAAGTTAGACACCCGAGCTAAACCTTGAGCGCTTATGTATAAAGCCAGAATTTCTAAAACTGCTTCAAAAGTATAGAGGGCTTTGAGCTGGATGGTGGAGTGTAGACAATTTAAATAGAACAAATATGAACTTTCTCTAGAATCCTCACATGTGCCTGGCTCCTCAGACCTGTTGCAGCATACAGCAATGCACACACACAAGCACACACACACACACACACATACACAGCATCAACCAGCTGCTTCCAAACAATGACTCGCACATGATAAAAGCTCAACAGGAAAAATCGACACAAGTCAGCCGTCGTAAACATCCGTTCTCCGCACACCAAAACACTGTGGACTAAGAATGGGGGTTTTTCTGCATTGTTCCGCTGGTTTTTGCAAAGCCTGAACCACGACATCTCTCATATACTGAGCAAAATATACTTCATTCTAGCCTCTCCGCTCCTAAAACATTCGCTACTTCTGTTTCCCACTGATTGCACTGACCTCGATTTCAATATATCGCTATTTAGGATGCTGTTGATATTAAATTGTTGGAAAAGAAAAGAGGTGATGTATGTTTATCTATATTACAGTAAGCAAAAAAATCTCAGCAGCGTTCACTTCCTGTGCGGGAGTGTCCTTCAATGCTGATTTTGATGTCATTGGGGATAAAGGAGGGTTTGGGCAACGCCAGCGGTGGTTCCTCTTCCCCTTTCTCAGTCTGGTCTCGCTCTGGGGCCGACCAACGTCTTTTCCGCCTTTGCTGCACTCCGGTTTTGTCCGTTTGAAGCGTTTCCTCCGTGGGATCATGACTGTTTCTTGTGGGTTGGTTGCTGTTGCTGTTGTTGTTGTGGGGGAGGTCCATGCTCTTGAGTTTGGCGCCCAGAATGGTCCCGTCCGAGAGCGATCCGTTCCTGAGTCCGCGGAGGGTGAGGGACACGCACACGTCGCCCACGCACAGTTTGGCGCAGGACAGTTCGAACAGCTGCGTGGTTCTGTCCGGGCAGCAGGACGACCAGCCCTGGCCGAAGACGAAGAACGGGTACTCCATCAGCACCTCCACACACACCTGGGTACACACAGGAGGTGGTTAGAGCTAAAGCACAAACTAGTTCACGTCAATTCATTTATTTTTGTATAGCCCTAAATCACAACCGCGGATCAGAGAATCAACAGGTTCGATCACAGGAAATGCAATAACAACAAACACATAGGAGGCACCAACAGAGCTACTGTCGCTACTGTTGGTAGAACATTGGCCTTTGGGCCTGAAGGTCGAGGGTTGCACTGATAACTGCTGTCGTTGTGTCCTTGGGCAAGACACTTAATCCCACTTTGCCTGAAACTCCCGCTGAATAATCAAGGCTCCTGTGGACTCACCACCTGCGGGGTGCAGCCCACAAGACACATACCGGGACATTGATAAATCAGCGGCTGATTGAGGGGGGCCAGTACCAGCAGGCTTTACCTTTTACACATGAGTATGTTATGTTAAATATTTTATGTTATATACTGTATTTCTGAGCATGGAGGGGACTGCGGCTGCAGAGTTCTGCACGCAGCACAGGGGGACTCTAATGTCTTTATACTATATCTATAAATCTGAGACACGTTCTAAAGGCTGCAGTTGGCCCACTACTGCTTTAGACCCTGAAAAAATATATAAATGGTATAAAAAGGTGGATTTATTAAAGAAGAAATTTGATACATTATTTTTGGCCTCTAATCGTTTTAATGAGACTATTGACTTTGGCATGTTTTAGAATGTGAAATCATTTCTCAAGAAATAAAAAACATGGATAAAAAAAAATATTGTGTGCAACAAACACAACCATTCAAGTTCAGGAAAGGCCTCTGGATCCCTCCACTGATGCATCATAGAGCATTATAGTTGAGACGGGAGCATTTAGACAAAACGCACTGTTTTCTCCCAAACTGTTTTGGAGACAGACAGAGGTGTTGTTACCCCTCTGTATTTACCTTTCACAATGTCAAGCTTAAGTGCCCAATTTAAATTTATAAATGACAAAAAAATCACCTTTTAATAAGAAATAAAACTTTAATTGGAAAACCAAGGTTGATCGCTCCAATAACACAACATCAGGTCTGTTTTTGATGAAACACAATGTTGTAAAATAGTTTACAGTCCATAAAAGATGATTTGCCCATTTCCAAACGGTCGACAGAATGAAGGATGAGCAATGTCTTTCATGCAATAGAACATGATCAAAGTAATATGAATAAACACACATTTTTGAGTTTCAATGAGCCAGCTCGCTCCTTCACAGATCAGCTGACTCCCATTTTCCACATTTATTCATTCATGTATGTTTAATTTCTTGTAATAATTAAAATAATCATTTTCAAAATAATTGTATTTATTTTGTTTTTTATGTTATTTTTCTAAAAAAATCTAATTAAGCAGATACAAACCAACTCTCCCACTTGAGTTACCTGTGCTTTGAGCTCTCCCACTGAGAACTGAATGACGACGGCGTTTGGCGTCTGTCCGCTGTCGATGCGCTCCACGGTGCTGGAGTCGATCTTGAGCTCGCTGCTGATCTCCGCGCTCTGAATGAAGTCCTCGGTCTTCAGGTCCTCCACCCGCTTCAGCTCACCGTCCGCCAGCTGGATGATGGAACCCCGCATGAAGAAGGGCGGCAGCGGCACGGAGGAGGCGGGTGAAGCGGTGGCGGACGGAGAGGCCTGGACGGACACGGGCGCGGGGGAAGGTGCGGGCGATGGCGAGGGGACGGCAGGAGCAGCGGGCGGGGCTTGGACCTGGGTCACCGCCACCGCAGCCGCAGCTTGGTTGGCGTCTGCTGCCAACGCCTCGCACTTGGACAGCGCGGTGGCCAAATAGGCGTGGGGCATGGCGGTGGATATCTGCGGGGTGGTGGCGGCGGTCACAGCACGGCTCCCCTCCATCTCCGTGCCGTTGTTGGCGCTGCTGACCGGAATGAGGAGTGACTGTGCGCTGGGAATGACCAAATGCTGGGGTAAAGCCGTGTGATAGCTTACATGCTGGTTGCCGCTGGTGATGTAGCCGATAATGGGAGGTTGAGAGTTGGAGTAGATATTCGCCGGCAGCTCCTCGTGCGGGAGTGTTGTTTGGATGACGGTGTGCGGCGCGACCGACTTTATGTCTGCGGACGAGAAGGGAGTGAACGAGGAAGTCCTGGCCAAAGGTTTCCCTAAGCAAATACCTCCCTTATCAGTCTGGACGATAGAAATCTTGTTTGGTTCATGATCCGAGGTGTGGTTGGGTTGAGCCACTAACACCAACGATGTCTGAAGCCCAGAAGAGTTCTGGCCGTAGTCCGCGGGCAAAAGGATATGTCTGGCTTCGTAACTTTGAACCGGCTGGTGGTTTATTGGCTGAGTAGAGGCTTTGGAAGGCTTGCCCACTTCTAGCTCCCCATTCAACCCTTTCCCCTCCAGCTTCTTCCCATCTGTGTATTGGACGACAAGCTGTGAGGGCGCGAGGGTGAGGGTTTGGGGCAGGACGGCAGCGTGCGGGTGGAGTTGGAGATGTGTTGCGGGCGATGCCACCGCGTTGCCGCTCATGGTTAGAGGAGCCCGGCTGTCCAGATGGATGTACTGGCCAGGCATCTGTGGGCTGCCGGAAAGGGTAACGGGTGTGAGCTCAGAGGGGGACAGGCCCATCTGAAACTGGTGCTCGGGTTTGGCGTTTGAGGAGATGTACGCGGTCGTGTAGCCGTCGACTTGATGCCGCTGCTGTCCCACTGAGCTGTTGGGCATAGTGTTTGCATTGGTGGTGATAATGTGCGAGGCTATGTAGCCAGCGTACGGCCCAGAGCTGATGAACTGGACGTTGGGTGCGAGTTGGGCCAGTTGGATAGCTCCGGCTTGTTGTTGGAGAGCGGCGGGGTACATGGTGGGCAGAGAGGCCAAAGGGACCGCAGCCAGAGCAGTGGACGAGAGCGTAGAGGCGGGAGCGGCTGAGGAGGCAGAGGTCACCACGCATTTGGGGCTTTCTGCGTCTCTGGATTTGCAGCGTTCACTCGCGACACTAGCGAGCCACGCCAAGTTCTCAGTGTGCAGAGTCTCCGCGACCACCGCCGGAGGAGCTGCAGCCGCTACAACCACGGGCCGCTGCTCCAGGGCCAAGATCTCACGCTTCTTTGGTGGCAGGCATCCATTACTTCGCTCCTGGTTGGATTTCATTTTGCCAAAAGCAGGTGGGGAATTTTGAGGTTCTGGAAAGCTCCTCTGAAAATTAACTATTTACTCTTCTCTGTTTTTTTATCATAGACTTTAGCTGAGAGCAGCGCTCAGTGGTGATCAGGTCTACAACTCAAAACTACGTAGTGACTTGAGCTCACAAGAGGAGCTCTGATCTCTTCATGTGGAATCATCTCTGGACACTTTGTCTCCTTCACAAAGACCACTGGAATCTGGAAAACACAAGAACAGAATCATTGTTAAAATGGTCATTATTCATTTCTAAAAACACTGTTAGTAATGCACTATTTCACCACCAGAAGGCTCTGTGCAACACATCACTCAAAAAAGCTATTTCTTTAGGAAAAATAAAAGTGCGGTCTATTATTAGTTTTTTTCTACAACATACCAGCTGCAAAGTGCAAAGCTGTTGTGTCCTAAAACAAGACACTTCCCCCACATCGCCTAGAGTCAGTCTGGTGTGTGCATGAATGAATGAATGGTGGTGGTGGGAGGGATGGGATAGATGGCACATCTATTGGTTGCTTCACTTCTGTCAGTCTTCCCCAGGGCAGCTGTGGCTACAGTAGTAGTTTATCACCACTGTGTATAGAGTGAATGAATAATGACGTGGGAAGCGTCCTTGAGTGTCTGTAAAAGCGCTAAATAAAACCAATGCATCATTATTATTAAGTGTGCACTGCAAAAAAATATTATAAGGCAGTAAAAGCTTGAAAAGTGTAGTTTTTATCTTAATTCAAGGATTGATTAGTCACTCAATTTATCAATGGGATGAAAAACATGTAAAGAGCAGCAATTACATTCTTGATCAAAGTGAGAATTAAAAAACAAAACAAATGTCCCTAATTCAGGCTAATGTTGACTGTCTTATGCAGTATATCTATATTGGTTAAAAAAATATGTTGAAAAACAAATTTCTCTCAATACTTCTGTTTCTAATAAGGCTCAACATGTTTATCTTCAGCTCAAAAGAGCCAAAAGCTAATTCTTCTTTTCTTTTTTCTCCACATACATTTTATTCAGCGCAACAATCCCTTTGGACAAGCCATTTCTTGAGGTAAGTTCCCTGCAGCTGTATTTTGCATAAAACTAATGAGGAAACACAGGTCGATGTGTGGTCAGTTGTCAAATGCCTCGAATGAGATGATTCAGTCAAGGTCACTCTTCAAACACTTCAAAACAAGTCTATGTTTCCAGACTAACAATGAGGATCTGGACACACACGAATAGAAATAACCACATTATCAAAGCTCTATATTTGCACATATAGCTGCAATACACTCTATGTCACTACTGTACTTGTACCCCGCTGTAGCATCACTAAAATCTCCCCATTCCGGGAAACATACATCTCCTCTCATGTCTTATGTCATCCTCCTCCCTTGACACTGTACCATAAGCAAAAAAAGAAATAAGGAAGAGGCTACAGGAGCGAGGGGGATGACAGATGGAGGATTTGAAGAAAAGAGAGAGAATTGATCAACAACAATGGATGAGCACTGCTTCTCCTGACCCACATTGAGCCGAGCCTGCAGCATCGGAGCGCCATAGCCCCCACCGTGCCGTGCCGACCCCCCCCCTCCCATCAGCAGCAGCAGCAGCAGCAACACAGCCACTACCGCTACCGCAAACCCCACCTCAACAATATTTGGTGTCTACTCAGTAATGACATCACTGCTCGGAGTACAACCCGGGTGTACGCAGTTCTTGTAGTAAGCGAACAGATGTCACAAATACAAAATGCTCTTGAGACGTCTTTTCCCTCATCTGACCCGGAGAAACCCACTGACATACTGCACAATGACCACAACATACTCTGTGCCTGGAAACATCCACAGCGTATGTAAGAGAAGGAATGGCAGGGACAAGATTTATAGACGTGCCACAACCCCCCATGCGTTCGCTCAATGGTGGTTTGATATTGTCACCTCTGAGACCTCATCTTGCAGTGGAATAGACAGACTACTCTCTGTTCATAATCAGCCAATGACAGAGCTGGCATCGCATGTGTCCTGCTTTCATACACCCCCATACAAAAATAATCACTGAAAATATAGGACCCTTCTTGAGATTCAGCTTCCTGTGTATGCGGCAAGGTTTAGGAGACTTTTTGCAATTAAAAAAAGATAGGAAATAATATGGCAACGATGCTAAGACTTGTATCCATATGAAATCCATGAATATTAAATGCATTTCTCGCCGGATGGTGTCATTCAAGTGAGATGACCCCCAGCTGCAAGACACCTGTACTATCAGCCCAGCATGTCAACAAGAGCAATGATACATCTGCAGCTCATAAACTTTACCCAGGCAATAACATGATTACTGGTTAAAAGCACATAGCCTTGTAATGATGTTACCGTTCCAAAAGACTCGGTACAAGTCGTCCACTTCAGACTGTTGTCATTGCTGTACTATCACACTGCTCCAGTCAAGGATATATTCTAGATACAGTGTACAGCATAGGGCTAAATTTAGAAAACAAAAACTTCATTATCAAGCCATGAGCAGAAGGGGAGGTAGAGGGAAACAGTCTCTATGTGCATGTGTGTGTGTGTGTGTGTGTGTGTATGTGTGTGTACTCTATCCTGCCTATGAGCCCACTGTGGTCGAAGCATAATCCTATGACAAACGCCGCTGCTGCTTTAACACACTGAGCAAATCAATAGAGAGCGGGGCTGCTTCCATCACCCCCAATGAGCAATTTTACTGGCCTTTCCCAGAGTACAACATTGCCGCGTGTCCCTTTAAGAGGCGGGTACCTTGTATAGCAGACCCAGGCAGACAGAGAGGTTAAAAAGCTGTTCCTCACAATGACTCCTGAGTTCTGCAGAAACACATCCACCTCACAGTGCATCTCCAGAAGTCCCCCCGGGGGCCAGAACACCTCACGCAAAAACAAAGCAGACACACACACACACACACACATACAGAAAAATAGACAACGGATCGTACGTCCTCTTTTGGAAGATGCTGTGACTGTTGCCTCCGGGGGGAATGACACCAAAACCGAGAGAGAGAGTATAGTGGGGAGAGTGTGTAGTAGCAGGGCAGAAAAATACTACGATGCCACAAAGCAAGCACAAAAGATAAGCCCACCTCCTCTTCCTCCTCCTCCTTCTCTCTCAGTAGAAGAACTAATAATAGCTCACCAGTTTCGCCAGAGCTAGTGCTTGTTGTAGAGCGTGTCCGAGCATTCTTCCTGCCTCCCGGAGCGTGCATGAGTGCGTAATGTGTGTGTGTGTCTGTGCGTAATGTGTGCGCGCTGTTTCTTCCAGGATCTCTCCCTTCTTTCTTTTGTGCCGCTGCAGCTGCTTGCCCCAAAAGTCCAGCCCGGATCTTGCACCTACACCTTTTGGGGCTTCTGCTTCATCTGCAATGTGATGGTGGAGCTGGTGGAAGGAGGAGAAGGAGGTCCCCCACTTTCTGAAGCTCCGATGAGAGGCAAAGAGAGGGAGGAGAGAGAGAGAGAGGAGAGAGAGAGAAGGGGGGACTGCTCCAATGTGTGTTATGCAAGGCCACCAGACCGCCAGCTCCTTCTCTGCCTGGCTACTTTGCTCGCTCGCTCCCCTCCCCTTCGCTTTCTCTCGCTCTACTCCACTGACGGCTCCTCCCACAAAAGCCAGCCTCATCAGCCGCATCAGGTATTCATTCAAAAAAACACACTCCACTTGGCTCGCTGCCCAGACTACGCTCACACACAGAGAGGAAGAGAGGAAGGGAGGGAGGGAAAGAGAGAGGGAGAGAGAGAAAGGGGGGAGGGCACAACAGACGACAGAGGGAGAAGTGCCAATTCTAGAGACTGGGTTTTGCTGCGTGTTGTGGGCTTCTGACTGAGTGTAAGAGATGGAGCTATGTTTCAGGCTTGTCATTGGTCGAAGGAAATGCAAAAGCTCCGAGATACGTTCTTGTTTTGTTGATTTGAGTGTGTTTTTGCCACTGTTTTGAAATCAGCTTTGCCAATGGAACAAGCATTTAACGCAAATATTGTCTTACGAAGAGATGCTACTGCCTCCAAACATTCCTCATTCCTACTATTCTGTAACTGATGCAACACTGGAATTTCCCCATTGCGGGACACATGAGGGTTGTCTTAATCTTAATATTGATTCTTCAACTTTGGACGCTATCTCACTATGAAACTTCTACCCACTGTTTTTAATGCACTGCACTATGTAGGGCCTACACACATAAGAATGTCAAAATTAAACAAACAACATTAAGTAAAAATGGCATTAACAACAAGACCTAGAACATCATTGGTGTTTAAGCAACCATTAAACGTATTATTTATGGTGATGAGTGTCAGTTGTATATCTGAGAGATATGTGCCTGTATATCATTTGAACCATGTAACAAGAGGAAGGAACTATAAGTTTCACTTCTACATACTCCTTTTCATATTGTCTATATGTTTCTTCTTTTTCAGTATATTGCACAATTATTTCAAAATAAAGACTACTACTACTACTATTAAAATAAACTGCAAATGTCATTAATATTCATCAAAATGTACCTAAAAATTGCAATGATATATTTTTTTAAATATTTAGCCCAATTTCAATTGAAAGGGAAACTAACAGTCAGACAGGCTAAACCTTTGTACGCGCTGTCATGTTTACAATCAAAAGTATTAAGATTTTTTCAGATCACAACTAAGTAAAGTGAAAATTATACATGATTTACGTTTTTAGATTAAACATGGTTCTGACAGTAAGGATCATACAGCATGCAGAGTAAATACTTTGTGGAACCCCGTCTTTCTTTATGAGCTTTGCACATCCACAGACTGAAAGTTGTGCCCATTCGTCTTTACAAAAATATCTGGTCAGATTAGAGAGCGATTATGAACAACAGTTTTCAGATTTTCACTTGGTTTAGGCCTGGGCCTTGACCGGACCATTCAAACGCATGGATGTGTTTGTTATAAGTGTATCTGTATCTGTATCTTAATCACCAATATACAAGCGGTTTTCTGCTCATTTGAAAATCCAATGAAGAGTAATGATTAATATTTTAACAATGTGGAATCCTAAGAACGGGCCTTATCTCAACCAATCCTTCAGACCTCTCCGATCAGGTGTGGGCCTCCTGCTGCTTTTGGAGCCGAGACTGTGTCACACCAACGCCGGGGGCAGGGTCAGCCAATAATGGACAGATAAAAATACCTGGACATGGACTAAATTGATCCAAATAATGCAATGACAATATTCATACTGTGAATGTAATGTCTATTTAATCTGTGTTGTGGGTGAAACATAAGAATCCTGTGAAATAACTGTAATGTCTATTCAAATCTACCAGGCCTAGATCTGCCCGAGGCGGGACTAGGCTAATGAGGAAGCAGGCTCTCGCAGTGACCAAGCCGTGGTTCGCTCTCTTCCGGTTCTGCTGGCACGTGCCGCTTCTCCCAGCCCTGCTGAAACAAAGAGAAGGCTCCTGATCGGCCTCAAAAAGCCTCACGCCTCCGTCTTCAAACAAAGCGGAAGAACCCCTGACCTCCCACTGGATCACGCACGGAACGAAATGGATTCTCTACAACAAAACGCTGCTTTACCACCAGCGCAACACAATCAAAGTAAGACAGCTTCTTGTTCGTGATTGATGCTATGCTAACTGTTTGGACTGAGCTTACGGACTCAATTTTGGGCCTAATTGAACACTCGGACTCTGGCCTAAAATAATATAAGTATACTGTAATTACGGAATTGAACTGCTGCATTACTGTGAATTGATTAGGATTGCCTTGGTGAATAAAACACAGTCAACAAAGCTGTTGCAGCGCATGTTTTGATAATCTTAGTAAATTAACATTGGCTGTTTAGAACACACACCTTTAGAAAACCAGACTGAAGTAATGTCTTCTCAAAGACTGGTGCTTTATTAGAATTTAAATAATGTATCCCTTCACATTAATTAGGTTTAATCAATTACAAATAGAACAGATACCTATAAATTCCCTACAATAATAATTATAAAAAAACTTAATAGCACTTTTTTGGACACTCAAAGACGCTTTACAAATCACGTAAAAATAAACAATGAAGAACAAAATTAAGGAATGATGACGGTCAGAGAGGTAGGAGTTTATGACGTTTGTGATGAGTGGGGTCCGAGAGGGGATGCAGGTTTTCAGGAGAGGGGACGGATTGGGGTCCAGGTGGCAGGTGCTGAGTTTCATGTTGGGAGAGGAGCTTGGCGGTGTTGGTTGTTAAAAGCAGAGATAAGGAGGAAAGGCTGTGATTTCTGGATAGGTTGACAGGGGAATGGGTTTCAATGGAGAGATGGTGAGAGGAAGAGATGTGCAGGGTTTAATAAATTGTTCAGAGTTTTGAATGAAACAATGAAAAGTAATTTGTCTGTGAATTTGGAGGTAATATTGTCAATGAGCTTGGTGAGACGAGTGAATGTGGATAACAGGTCAGTTGGAGGAATTGAAGTGGATAAGCTATTTTACATGTTTTTAGTTGTAGGAAGAAACCTATGGAGACACAGGGAGAACATGTAAACTCCACCCAGAAAGGACCAGGGTTTGATCCCAGGAGAAGCAAGAGTGCTAATCCCTCAGCCTCAATGCCACCCTTCACAGAGTTGATTGTAGTTGACAGCAGCTAGGATGAAGGATCTCCTGAAGCGTCCTGGCTATGGGGAGTTTGCAAGTTCTCCCTGTTTCTGCGTAGGCTTCCTCTTGGTGCTCCGTTTTCCCTTACCACTAAAAGAAAGCGGAAAACTTAGCACATCCGACTCTGTGACAGGTGCATAGGAGCAGGCTCTACACACATCTTCGCCAAATAGAAAAGGAAGAAAAACAATTCTTGCATGCTGTACTTTGATACATCAGTGTTTTTTTATTTACAGATGTAACGTTTCGGCTGTGGGCTTTCATCACTCAAAAAATGTCTCTCTGGTGCAAGAGTTTGTTAGTGCTCAATCCAGTATGCCTCCCTATGTTTCAGACACTTGTCATGGTGTCCTAGGGGGTGGAGGGACCTGTTCTAGGCCAATAAAGTGCACTCACATGATGGTGGGCATCATTGAATTGTGCTGCTAATGGGTACTCGCTGTCATTTCTGTGGATTGTACTTTTGTGTTCACTAATTCATTGTTTAAAGGTTCTCTTTGTTCTCTGCCAGTTCACAAGGGCAGCGAAGTAAATACACAACATCAGTGGATGCACAGCTGATAATGCTTTCGATGGGAATTCTCTTTCCACGGGAATTCTCTTTCCACTGTGCGGGTGCTGAAAAAAAGGTTCTATATCTGTAAATTAAAAAAACACTGGTGTATGCAAGTACATTGTGCAAGAGTTTTTTCCCCTTACCACTAAAAACATGTATAATAGGTCTGAATGTAATGAGAGAGTTAAAGGATAAGGTGCTTGTTAGGGGCTTTGATCCGCCAGAGCGTTCGGCATCTTGCTTCTGTCATCAATGTGAGTGGAGAGAATGGGAATTAATGGTACAACAAAATTGTAAAGCGCTTTGTGTGAAATTATAAACACTGTGTAGAATGGAAACCTCCACAACCATACACTGATCCCAGGATAGATGCTGCTCAGAGGGAAGAAGAATTACAGACAACATGCTGGGCACAAGTTAACATGATCACAGGGATGGTCCCATAGATACACATATCGACACGTTTTGGCAATTTATGTTGAATGCAGAAGTGAACATTTACAGGAAGCGCTGGAGAATAACACCTGACATACTGACGGAGATCATTTTAACAAGATATACTGTTTCTCCATCTGTAAAATATTTTAGACCACTGAAGACGTGGACAAATCAGATTTAAAACATTAACCATTAGCCCAATTACGTTCTAGTCACTGTTAATGCTATTGTGGCCAGTAAAGCATATTAACTGTATTTAATTAGTGTCTACAGTATACAGTATATTAACTATTTTACTAATCACTTTTAAAGCCTGTTTTGGACTGGAACCAAGTATATTGTTAGGAGTTTCAACAATATACTATTTTTGACTTAGGATATGGTTTGAAAGAGGTGTTTTTCATCACAGCAAAGGTCAGAGAAGTGATCTCGCTCCAAAGTACAGGTCAAGTCACCCCACTTCTGGATCAATTATGAGAGAATTTAAAGACAATTTGAGCTCGTGGACTCCCCCCTGGACTGCCACCTTAACGTGGTGGCGGAGTTTGAGTACTCGGATGATCCTGGGAGCTAAGCTGTCTGGGGCTTCATGCCCCTGGTAGGGCCTCCCATGGCAGACAGGTCTCAGGTGACGAGTCAGACAAAGAGCAGTCCAGAAGACACCATGGACAACACTAATATGAAAACAGTGACGTCGCCCGGCATGGCGCAGCCGGGGCCCCACCCTGGAGCCAGGCCTGGGGTCGGGGCCCGTATGCGAGCGCCTGGTGGCCGGGCCTTAGCCCACGGGGCCCGGCCGGGCTCAGCCCGAAGGGATGACGTGGGCAGTCCCTCCTGTGGGCCCACCACCTGCAGAGGGGTCCGTGGTGAAGCGGTGCTGAGAGGACTGGGCGGCAGTCGAAGGCGGAGACTCGGCGACCCAGTCCGCACACACAACATCTGGCTCTTGGGACGTGGAACGTCACCTCACTGGGGGGGAAGGAGCCCGAGCTTGTGGGGGAGGTTGAGCGATACCGACTAGAGATAGTCGGCCTCACCTCCACACACAGCTTGGGCTCTGGAACCCAACTCCTTGAGAGGGGTTGGACGCTCCACTTTTCTGGAGTTTCCCGCGGGGAGAGGCGGCGAGCTGGGGTGGCCATTCTCATTGCCCCCCATCTCAGCCGCCACGTGTTGGAGTTCTCCCCGGTGAATGAGAGGGTCGCGTCCCTCCGCCTCCGGGTGGGGGACAAGTCTCTCATTGTTGTGACGGCCTACGGGCCTAACAGCAGTGTAGAGTACCCGGCCTTCTTGGAGTCCTTGGGAGGGGTACTGGACGGTGCACCGCCCGGGGACTCCGTTATTCTCCTGGGGGACTTCAACGCCCATGTGGGAAACGCTAGTGACACTTGGAGAGGGGTGATCGGGAAGAGCGGCCCCCCTGATCTGAACCCGAGCGGTGCTCAGTTGTTGGACTTCTGTGCCAGTCACGGTTTGTCCATCACGAACACCATGTTCGAGCACAAGGGTGTCCACCAGTGCACGTGGCACCAGGACACCCTAGGCCGGAGGTCGATGATCGACTTTGTTGTCGTATCATCTGACCTTCGACCGCGTGTCTCGGACACTCGGGTAAAGAGAGGGGCGGAGCTGTCAACCGATCATCACCTGGTCGTGAGTTGGATCCGCTGGCAGGGGAAGAAGCCGGTCAGACCTGGCAGACCCAAGCGTATAGTGAGGGTCTGCTGGGAACGTCTCGCTGAGCCCCCTGTCAGACGGACTTTCAACTCACACCTCCGGGAGAGTTTCTCCCAGGTCCCGGCGGAGGAGGGGGACATGGAGTCCGAGTGGACCATGTTCTCTGCCTCAATCGCCGATGCGGCGGCTCGTAGCTGTGGTCGCAAGGTCTCTGGTGCTGGTCCCGGCGGCAACCCCCGAACCCGGTGGTGGACACCGGCAGTAAGGGATGCTGTCAGGCTGAAGAAGGAGTCCTATCGAGCCATGATGGTTCGGGGGACTCCTGAGGCAGCTGTCCAGTACCGGCAGGCCAAGCGTGCCGCGGCCCGGGCTGTTGCAGAGGCAAAAACCCGGGACTGGGAGGAGTTCGGAGAGTCCATGGAGCATGACTATCGGTCGGCCTCGAAGAGATTCTGGCAAACCATCCGGCGCCTCAGGAGGGGGAAGCAGTTCTTTGCCAGCACCATGTACGGTGCGGGTGGAGAGCTGCTGACATCGACTGGGGATATTGTCGGGCGGTGGAAGGAATACTTTGAGGTTCTCCTCAATCCCCCCGTCACGTCCTCTGTTACAGAGGCAGAGGCTGAGGATGTTGGGGCGGGTACATCCATCTCCCTGGCTGAGGTCACCAAGGTGGTTGGTAGCCTCCATGGTGGCAAGGCTCCGGGTGTGGATGAGATCCGCCCTGATTATCTAAAGTCTCTGGATGTTGTAGGACTGTCTTGGCTGACACGTCTCTGCAACATCGCGTGGCGATCGGGGGCAGTGCCAATGGAGTGGCAGACCGGGGTGGTGGTCCCTCTCTACAAGAAGGGGGACCGGAGGGTATGTTCCAATTATCGTGGGATCACACTCCTCAGCCTCCCCGGTAAGGTCTACTCCAAGGTACTGGAGAGGAGGCTACGGCCGATGGTCGAATCTCGGATCCAGGAGGAGCAGTGTGGTTTTCGTCCCGGTCGCGGAACACTGGACCAGCTCTATACTCTCCATCGGATACTCGAGGGTTCATGGGAGTTCGCCCAACCTGTCCACATGTGCTTTGTGGATTTGGAGAAGGCGTTCGACTGTGTTCCCCGGGGTGTCCCTTTGGGGGGTTCTCCGGGAGTACGGGGTCGGGGGTCCTCTGCTGAGGGCCATCCGATCCCTGTATGACCAGAGCCAGAGCTGTGTTCGCATTGCCGGCAGTAAGTCAGACCTGTTCCCGGTGAATGTTGGCCTCCGACAGGGCTGCCCTTTGTCACCGGTTCTGTTCACTGTATTTATGGACAGAATATCTAGGCGCAGCCAGGGGTCGGAGGGGGTCCGGTTCGGAGACCACAGGATTTCATCTCTGCTGTTTGCGGACGATGTTGTCCTGTTGGCTCCAACGAACCAGGACCTGCAGCATGCACTAGGACGGTTTGCAGCCGAGTGTGAAGCGGCTGGGATGAGAATCAGCACCTCCAAATCCGAGGTCATGGTGCTCGACCGGAAAAAGGTGCCTTGCCCTCTGCAGGTGGGTGGAGAGGTCCTTCCTCAAGTGGAGGAGTTCAAGTATCTCGGGGTCTTGTTCACGAGTGAGGGAAGAATGGAGCGTGAGATTGACAGGCGGATCGGTGCAGCGTGCGCAGTTATGCGGTCGCTGTATCGGACCGTTGTGGTGAAGAGGGAGCTGAGCCGAAAGGCAAAGCTCTCGATTTACCGGTCAATCTTCGTTCCCTCCCTCATCTATGGTCATGAGCTTTGGGTAATGACCGAAAGAACGAGATCGCGGATACAAGCGGTCGAAATGAGCTTCCTCCGCAGAGTGGCTGGGCGCTCCCTTAGAAATAGGGTGAGGAGCTCAGTCACACGGGAGGAGCTCGGAGTAGAACCGCTGCTTCTCCACGTCGAGAGGAACCAGTTGAGGTGGCTCGGGCATCTGTTCCGGATGCCTCCTGGACGCCTCCCTGGGGAGGTGTTCCGGGCACGTCCCACCGGGAGGAGGCCCCGCGGAAGACCCAGGACACGCTGGAGGGACTATATCTCTCAGCTGGCCTGGGAACGCCTTGGGGTCCCCCCGGACGAGCTGGAGGAAGTGTGTGTGGATAGGGAAGTCTGGGCGTCTCTGCTTAGACTGCTGCCCCCGCGACCCGGCAACGGATAAAGCGGAAGAAAATGGATGGATGGATGGATGGAGCTCGTGGAGTACAGTACAGTGTCCGGTGATTACCTGTACCGCCTGCACATCTCACACCACCCTAGTGTGTCTGTGGCTGTAGCTTGGGATGTGACTATAGACAATTGAGACTTGTAAGCTGTTTTGTAAGGTAAGAAATTGACATTTGATCCAACTTTCATTTCAGGACTTGACCTCTTACACCCAGAGATAAAGCATTTTGGAAGAAGGAAAACCACTTATTTTTCCATCATCACCATGGATACAAGAATTACAGAGGTCTTAAAATGATGTATAAAGAATTAGAGAAATAGGGTAACTCTATTCAACGGACATATGCATATGGTGTACATGTAAAAGTGCTTTCAAAATGAACAGCTTTAAAAAATAAAATAAAAAATAATAATAGATAAGTCATTACAATTACAATCACAATCACACAGTCAGAATATTTCTGACTGTGTGAAATATGTCAAATGAAGGTCCTAAACACTGATTACTAATAGAAACTTGTACCTAGTTTAGCGAACTTAAGAAAAACAGCAACCTAACAAACTGGAAACCCAAATGACAAATGAGAGCATAATGGTGCACTCTGATTAGATAATACACTTGAAAATCATGTAGATGGATATTGTCCAATGCATCCCAAAACTTTTATTTTTTTATGGAAAATGTTGAATGTATAGAGCATAGGGATCACCTGATTTTTTTCCCCAGACGCTATGAGATCAAAGTCTGAATATTTTTACTTTAAAGTGAAAAATTTTATGAGATTAATCTGGAAAATTCCGAGATTAATCTCGATATATAATGAGATAAAAGTCAGAAAAATTCACAGTCGGTGTGTAATGTAGATAATGGAGCTCCATCTAAACTGCTAAATGAACAGAGACACCTTGTCCAGAGTTCACAGAAGCTGTAGATGGTTTAATGCTTTCATTTAGTCATAAACTGTTGACCCATGATAATAATATGGTGTAACATGTGGTATTTGTTTTAAACTGTGTGCGCTTGGGCGTGTTATTGTGTCTCATTCGCAGGTGAAAGAGCACCAGTTTCCCCAGGCAGCTCCTTTACCTGCGGCTGGGACAGAACACGAACGCGCTTGTGGATTTACTCTTGTCATTTACTCTTACACTGTTGGTGTTCAACATTATATAGATTTCATCAATTCTGACTGGTCCACGCATATAAATTGTTATATAAATCCATGTTCCTTCACCTGCAACTGAGACGAGATAGCATGCATACGCGCACATTTAGGTCATCATTGGGCCACAGTTTAAGAGTATATGAAAGCAAAAAACATTTAGCTGCTTTGTGCGATGGAGCTCCAATGTCTCCATTACGACTGTGAAATTAGTCTGACTTTTATCTCATTATATTTCAAGATTAATCTCATAAAATTTTGAGTTTATTCTGAAAATATTTTTAGATTAATCTCATAATATTCCGTTGTAAAAATGTGACCTATTATCCGGGAACAAAAAATGTGGATGTCTATTAACATGAATATATTACACACTGATGTGAGGCTATTTTAATGTATAAGGTATATACTGCATGAGAGAATATACTTTTATATACAGTACACTTACCATGGGCTGCAGAGCATAGCGGATGCAAAAGCCGGGAGCTGAGGGGAAGTACTCGTCGGAGATAAAACGGACTCGGAGCTGAGAGCCTTTGGAGACGTAAGAGTTGGACAGAGGCTCTGCTCCACACCAGCGACCTACAACGGAGCGCTCTGTCAGGTCCTCTAGCTCCACAAAGTCATACCTGCAGCAGAGAAGGACACACACAGCTTTAGTTATCATTCAGAGGGAAACACAAAGCTTTGGCTATCAATAAGGAGGATTCGTAAACTCATCATTCAGAACCTTTTCAATGGACGGAATGTAGTCTCCCAGTCATGTTGTAAATTTGGGCTAAAGCTCCTCTTAAAATGGAATTTACTAACATAATTATAAGAATGAGTTTTTATGGTTAAATGGATTGAGTTATAACTAATTGAGTATTGTGTTGTTGAGGGTGCAAAACTTTCAAACTGCAAATGTGTAATTATGTCACAAAAATTAAAGACAAAATGTTGTGATCTGATTTGTTCACAATATTTGACTTCTCACTCCTAGCCGGTGGGGGTGTACCCGGAAAGACAATTACCCAATGCTTTTGTATGCCGCCTTCTTTCCTCTCGAAAACAGCTTTACAGGATGGTCCAAAAGTTGGTTCTTGGCCCAACACTAACTTATAGATGCATGTCAATGCTGAAGGGAGTGATTTTATTGGGACAAGCCTAGTTTAGCCGCTGTGAACTTTTGAAGGCTCTCGTCAGATGAATGGGGCTAGTTGACTATGTATATATCTATGTGTTTTTTATATAAAGGTGTGTACATATGCATATCTATCATACAGTATTCATAACATCGTGGTTTCGCAGTAGTATTAATAGCCAAATAGTATAATACAAGTATTATTATTATTCTTATCATCGTTATATAATTTAAATATATAGTATAGTTATTACATTCTATAGGATTATGATAGTTATATACCAAAGTTGTTATAGCCATTACTCTTAGTTAAAACTAGTAAAGCAATTGTTATTATTATTGATATTATTTTTTTTAGCAGCAGTAGTATGAAAAAAAAGTAAGGGAAGAGTAATGGCAGTAACGATTACAATATCTATATGACATTTAAAGGGAAGGGAAGAAGAAAGGAAGGGAAAAAGGGACAGGGAAAAAAGAACAAAACAAAAGAACAAGGGGAAGGGAAAAGAAAAAAAAAAAAAAACTGGGCTCCCTCATCTGCACCTTGCTCCACCCCTTGGGTTTTTAATGCACCACATACAACACAATGTTTTTAATGCACCACACAAGAGCACAGGTGCAGATTGGGGTTCTGACATTTGAAAAAGTATACCTTACTATTTATAAATAATCTTATAATGAGTAATTTATTTATAAATATTTAACAATGGTGAGTGTATGTAAGTATGTGTATATATGCATGTATATATATATATGTATACATATATTTAAATACTACATTGATGTGTATATAAATTACAAAAATACACACTAAGAATAACAATCTGATTCAGTAAAGCTGATAATGCTGCTGCGGCTACGTGACTTTCCCGTGTATTGAACTGTCTTATCTATTAATTATTATCATCTATATGTGTGGGTACGTGTGTATGTATGTATGTATATGCGTAGGTATGTTTATTTATATATGTATATATGTGTATTTCTTTATTATTATTATTACTGTTTCATTTTTTTTTTTTTTTTTATATCAATATGTGCCCTGCCTGTTACTACTTCACATCGCCATCTCTTCCCCATTATTGCAATACTATGTCCTTTCTATTATATTCTTACTATTACTATGCTCTGATATTATAATTATAATTACTTAACTCATATTATTACTGTCATCACTACTCTCATTATTATTACTATAATGGCAAATATGTCACTATCTCTATCTTTGTTTATTTCACTCATCAAAGCTTATCTAAGAAATTGACTCATGTAACATACACCTGAACACACTACACGCGCACTACACACATCCAGACACTACACGCATCCAGACACTACACACATCCACTATGCACAGCCACCATAGGCCCTCGGGGTCAATTTGTATCGGTCTAGCCCCCTTCCCTTTTGTGTTGCTCCCCAGTATGTGTGTTTTGTAAAGCTTTGTTTGTATGTTTGCATGTATGTATAAATAAAAAAAAAAAAAAAAAAAAAAAGATGAATGGGGCTCAGGCCGGCTACTCTGGAAGATGTAAAGCGCTTGGGTGATCTTGGTCTGCAATAAGCACTATATAAGTAAACATTACTTACTTAATAACGCATGCGCAAAAAGCTTTTTTGTTACATTTTTCCTGCATGTGGCCATTTAGAATAAGCCCACGGAACGCAAAAGTGGTCACATCGGTTTCAACTACTTTTTTTTCAGTACAAGATGGGGATTTATAATATTCATTCTGTACAGCTGTCCTAACAGTTATATAAAAAAATATAGGATCATGAAGACCAAGAAAAAATGAAATGGAAAATAAATTTCACAAAAATGTATTGAAAAAACACAATTAAATGCTATGAACAACTTTTTAGACTGTATAGAAATGTTATTTAGGGTCGTGAGAATAATGGGGGGAAAAAAATTAACCTATAGTTACCTATTACTCATAGCACATTTTTGCTTTCATGGGCCAAAGTGAAAATGTCCCAGTGGGCCGTGGGCCAAATACACTGATATTACACATGAAACACAAACAAATGGAAATTGGATAAAGTTACCCTAAATATTGTTGAATAAATAAATGCACCAATCATTCAGTGCAAAACAAGTTGAATGAAAACAAAACAACACAACCTTAGTTAGAAGTAGAACAAACAACAAGTGCAGCAACAAAATTGCAACTATGCTTATGTCAACAACAAAACTACATTCAAAACTGCAATCTGCTGTTTTAAAACTATGCAGATTTAAAAGGCCTCTTGTCTGTATTCCACTGCCAAGGATGCTCCATTTTGTTCGGTTAATATATATATATATATATATATATATACAGTATGTATAGTACAGACCAAAAGTTTGGACACACTTTCTCATTCAATGAGTGCCCTTTCTTTTCATGACTATTGACTGCAGATTCACACCCAGGCTGTGTAAGGGCTATTTGACCATTGAGGAGAGTGGTGGGTGCTGGACCAGATGACCTGGACTCCAGTCACCAGACCTGAACCCAATCCAGATGGTTTTGAAGGGAGCTAGACCACAGAGTGAAGGCGAAAGGGCCAACAAGTGCTAAGAATCTCTGGGAACTCCTTCAAGACTGTTGGACGACCATTTCCTGTCAAAAACTCTTGAAGCTCATCAAGAGAACGGCAAGAGTGTGCAAAGCAGAATTTAAGACATATTTTCAGTTGTTTAATCCTTTTTTTTTTTAATGAACATAATTCCACATGAGTTAATTCATAGTTTTGATGCCTTCAGTGTGAATCTACAATTTTCATAATCATGAAAATAAAAATATCTTTGAATAAGAAGGTGTGTCCAAACTTTTGGTCTGTACTGTATATATATGAATGGCTAACTGAAGGACGAACGGTCCTGATCATGAAGGTCCCTGTGAAAGGTGCAGTCCCCTCCAACTACCGGCCAATAACCCGTCTCTCCACAACATGGAAGCTCATGTCAGGCATCATTGCGGCTAGGATAAGTGGGCATATGGAACAATTCATGAGCACATTTCAGAAGGGCATTGGTAGAGACACCAGAGGAGCCAAACACCAGCTCCTGGTTGACAGAACAGTCGCCCAAGACTGCCGGTCACGACACACCGACCTGTGCACTGCCTGGATTGATTACCAGAAAGCCTAAGACTCAATGCCCCACACATCGACCAGACTGGCTGTACACCCATATTTTCGTCCGGTTGGAAACAGCGGTAAGCGCTAGTGACGCCGGCTCATAAAGAAATTGGCCAGTGGCGACATCTGGTGGTTTACAGAGGCACATACTACAAAGTAACCTAAATACTCCACGTCTTGTAATGCTTCTCCAGTCTCGTCAAGAGGTGATCAGTAGATATGCGCTCGGAGAAAGCAGGCAGGCGTTTTTCATGCATAGCCAAAGCAACATTTTATTTATTTTAAGGATTATTGGACTCGTTTATGTTGTTGCAACCAAGTATGAAGCAGAATTTGGATCCTCTCTGACATGAAGTCTGAGTTTGGACATGTCCCTTTACCACTGAGGAGGCCATGCAAAGCGCAGAGCAAATGTTCAGAGAGAAATACCCCGACATCTCTGTTCTTTTCAATGAAACTATAAACTACAACTTTACTCCCATTTGATAAATGTTACCCAAAGGTACAGCTAAAGTCAGGTCATATAGGTTGTGCTCAGGTTGTATAGAGTTCTGTTTCAGTTGGAAGCCAATATACACGTTGCCTAAACTTAACCTATTAGGGTGGTTTCTGTACTGTTTTTCAAAGGTTCATGCACATAAAGTGTATTGTTTTATAAAAAATTTAAAACACAATTATGAAGGCCTTCTTTAAATGCATTTATTCAATTCAAAGCATTTTGTAACTTGTTTTATTTGTTTCCTCTCACAAATATATGCTGGTCTGGGTGTTTCAAGTAGGCCTATGGGGGGGAAAATATAATTTGTCTCCCTTATATGCAGGTCATAACGTTAACATAACTCATACACACACATGATCCGTAGATATATTAAGAATAAAAGGGCAGTATAAAGAGCACACAATTACATATTTACAACTTTTCATCCATTACTTGCCAGTATTGGCTGCGCAATTATATTCTGTCTCTTAATCTTAAAATACAGTTGAGGACCACAAAACGACTCCAATAATCCTTAAAATAAGCAAAATGTCCCTTTCTGTTGCTTTGGCTATACATGCGCGCACTCCATGCGCCTGCCTGCTTTCTCCGCACGCATATCTGCTGATCACCTCTTGACGGGACTGGAAAGGCATTACAAGTATATGGCATGGTTCTTTCTTAGTTCTCTGGTTCAGGGTTCTGGCAGAATCTTCTCTGGAACCGAACCGCAGCTCCACTGTATGTCGAGTATTTAGGTTAACGTGTAGTGTGCCTCTGTTAAATCACCAGATGTCGCCACTGGCGACACTAGCGCCTACCACTGTTCCCAACCGGACGGAAATATGGGTGTACAGCCAACTTCTATAAAATATAACATTATAACATAATTATTATATAAT